ATCCCTCAAAACAAACAACAACAACAAAAAAAAAACAAACCAAAAACCAAAAATGTTTTCTGACTCTGAACACAACTACTAATTAGACTGTAGATAGTCATATGCTGTCTTTCCAGTCAAGGATTAGTTTTAACAATTAACCAAGGTACAGTTTTTTTTTTTTTCAGAATCAGGGATTGAACTCAGGCCCTTGCGCTTGCCAGGGAAGCGCTTATCCTACTGAGCCATCTCCCCAGCCCAACCAAGGTACTGTTGAGTCACAAGATCAACACAGTATTAAAGTAGTATTATTACCTTCTAGTTAAGAGTTAAAAGGTTTGAGAGTTTGGCACTAAAAAAAGTGAAGCTGCTAAGATGCTGGTAAGTAAAATCTTTAGAAAGTAATTATAGAAAGTTGCCATGTTAGCAGAGACTGCGGAAATGGAGCCCACCAAAAAAACCATACGTACACTTCAGTAAAAGATAGTTCAATGTTTTCAGACAGATGGTGTTACCCCCATTTGGGAGACTCTATACTAAGGATACTGTAGATTGCAGAAAACCCTCTACATTGCCAGCCCTTAGAAAACAAATTGAAAATGCATGTGCAGCAACTCCAATGACTGAGGTCACCCACACAGTTCACAGTGCTAATTAATCAATGTCTAGAAGCTCAAGGCCACCCTGTGAGCACCTCTTGTAATCGCAGAGACCAAAGGGAACTTTTTATTTTCTTCTTTTGAGACATGGTCTCATTATGCAGTTTGGCCTGAACTTGTGTGCACTTTTGTAGCCCCCAGGCTGGTCTTTAACTCGCAGATCCTCCTGGCTCAACCTTCTGAGTGCTGGGATTACAGGAGTGTGCCACCACACTCAGTTCTAGGATAGCATGGTGGGCACCCAGGGATTCCAGGCCAAGACCACATGGCATGTGGGTCTGGGAATCAAACTCGGGTCCTTGTGCTTGCCAGGTAAGTGCTCATGACTTTGAGCTATTTCTCTGGTCCTTAAAGGTAACTTCTTGAATTAATCTCATGATGTCTCAATAATTTAGTATTATTTATACACATTTTTCTTTTACTGAAGTTTGCATACTTTTTTTTTTTGGGGGGGAAAGACTTCGTATATAAACATTCTCACCATTGTTGCTTTTAGTTTTAAGTATTTTTGGTTTTACAATTATCTCCAGTATTTTAATACATTTCTTTCAAGTGGCTTGTAATATTCTATTGCATGGTGATTGTATCTAGCAGAATCTAGATTTCATCAAAGGAAGTCAATGGGAAAGTTAAGATTCAGCTACTTCATTTTTGTTGATGTGTTCTACCCTACAAATTTAAAGTAATAGTTTTAAAAATAAAAACAATCCCCCAGAGAGCAAAAATCTCACCAACAAATTCTGAATATAATACAAGCAACGCAAATCCTAAAGATAATCCTACCAAAATTCTATTTCTTCTACACGCATTAAAAAAAAAAATCTGATTCTGAGTGGGTGGGTAGTTCAGTGTAGGAATCAATAAAATAAAACTTTTTATTACTGTCTCTGAAATTACAGAAAATTTTAAACAAAAGATAGGAATAATAGGTGGTGGCTCTGCTTATAGAAAAAAAGTCAACTTATTCTTTTATTTTTTTTGTCTTTTTGAGATAGGATCTCACTATGTAGTTCAAGCCAGCCTTGAGCTCACTTTGTAGCTCAAGTTAGTCTTGAACTCACAGTGATCCATCTGCCTCCGCCTCCCAACTGCTGGGATTACAAGCATGCGCCACCACACCTGGCTTTTTTTTTGTGTATCTTGAAATCTACAGATTTTTCTTTCTTTTTTTTTTAACTCGATAGATTTCATCCCACTTTGTTTTACTCAAATCGAGGAGTAATTCTATTTAAGTGATATTATTTTAAATAAAACATCTGATATTCATTGTGATTTTTTTTCTGTCAGGTGGGTAAATGCCAATGTTGTAACAAGGTTTGAGGAGGCACATTTCACGCACACGGCGTCAGCACCCAATCACCACGCTCAGGAACTGAAGAAACCTCCTTGTGATTGTTTGAAGATCTTCATACATTCATTTTAACTGAAAAATCAAATAGGGGATGAAATGTAGTATTTTCTTCTCCTTTATGGCTGCGAGTAAATACGCAAGTGCGGTGAACTTTGTAGAGCTTGCAATGACGCCCCAGCCTGCTCACACATGGGCCGGGGCGCGCCAGCCTGACCTAAGCTCTGACTTTCCATGGGAGTTTACTGAGGAATAGGGCAGAGCCCGCCTGGGCAGATTAAAAGCCCTACGACTTTCGCTACCTCAAACAGTATTTACTTGAAAATGCTTATTTGAAAGCTAAGGACTTTCGCTTAAAAATACAACCAATTACTCTCTATCCCAGAGTTAAATGCATTTCAAGTGCCATTCCCTTAAAGACAAAATATGCTATGAAATATCTAAAAGGTTGTTTCTTATACAATCACCACTTTTCCTGTAGGGGGAAAGTTAACTAAAAGCAGAGTAAGCCACTATTACTTCTCTGTGAAGACTTTTAGGATTTTCCAGCAATTTCAAAAGGATGAGAAACTGGAAGATGTTTACAGTCATAAGAGAAGTGGGGAATTTAGGAAAATAAAGAGTACAGGAATGCTTAATAATTCTAGTAATTCTTAATTAGGTCTATAACTGATGAAATGTTTTAGTCATGTACTAATTTTATAGTATTAAAAAGAAAGAAAAAAAGGCAAATTATTTCTTTAAGAGTGACCCACTTAGTGCCGGCCAGATAGCTTGGCAGACTAAAGCGCCTGCTTAGGCAGAGCGCAGTGACTGGGGTTCTGGGGTTCAATCCCTGGAATGTCATGCTGGCCCCACCCTCGAGGCACACTGAGATGACAACTGAGTCTGGGTGTGGTGGTGTGTGACTGTAATCCCAGAGCTTGGTAGGCTGAAAACAGAAGGATCACTACCAGTCGGATGTGTGTAATGAAACCCTGTACTAAATATATATATGACAAAAAAGAGACTGATCCACTTGACAGGAAGACCATTTAAGCTGGTATATTAATCAATTTACTTGTTTATGAGCCAGGGTCTCATTATGTAATATACATTGGCCTTGAATTCACAGCAATCTTCCTGCTTCAGCCTCCAGTCCTGGGATTACAGGCATGTATCACCACACCCAGCTTCTGTTTCTTTAGAGTAGTTTTTGTTTGTCTTATTGTGCTGCAAAGCTGTTGTTTCACTGTATAAAAGCAGCATCATAAATGTAGTATGGGCTGGCGAGATAGCTCAGCAGTCTAAAGTGCCTGCTTAGGCAAGTGTAGGCAAGGGCTCAGGGATTGTGGTTTGATCCCTGGCACCACATGCCTTGCCAGCCATGCCTCCAGGGTGGGCTGAGCTGGTCACAAAAAAAGTAGTATATTGTAAAATTTAGAAAGTTTTTTTCTTCATCTAACATTTTACCACTAACATTTGCCTCCATTCTGAACTATTTTTGATGGGAAGATCATTTTAAGTATTCTGACCCAAATCCAGAGAGGAATGTAAGCAAGTAATAATCTAAGGCTTATGATAAGAATATTTTTCTTAGGGCTGGCGAGATAGCTCAGTGGCTTAAGTGTCTGCCTGGCAAGCACATGGTCCTGAGTTGGTACAAGAAGAATATTTTCCTTGAATTACATAATTTTTATAACTATTTTTTACTATGGGCAGTTTCATGAATTCTGAATATCAGAACCTGCAGCCTAATTTGAAAATCTTAAGGTACATAAAAAAGAAACACATTGTGTTTATCTACAATCACAGAAAATTATGGGCTATTGTCTTCCAGTAGCAGCACTGAGAGTTTTCTTTCTGTTACGTTATTGATAAAATCTGTTATTTCTGTCTGCCACTAATTTCATATGACCAGGCTGGGGAAGTCACTTGACACTAGTTTGCTTAGGGTGCCACTTTCCTCCTCAACAGATGTCCCAGCTTTCGCAAACACTGCTTCACTCAGAGTTCATCTAACTCAGAAGGGCTGCTCACTGTCAGTCCACTGTCTTCAGAACAAGATTTGCCGGCCAGTCCTGGAATTTCTGCAAGTGGCTCACTATTTTCAATTACTTCTCCTCCTGGAGGACAACAGGATTCACTGGCAGTGTCCACTTTCCAAAGCACCAAATTCATCTTGCTTTTCCAATTTTGTCTCAATGCAATGTCCTCCAGGCTTCCCATGCACAACTGCTGAGTCCCTGTGTCCCACTACCATTTTCTGCTATCCACTTATGTCTCTCTGTGAATTTACCCATTGTGAGCTAGCGCCTGCCTGCTGCCACCGGGGCCACACCTGGCAGGGCGCAGCAGATACTGAGGCTGCCCATGACTACTTATCAGAAGAATGATTCTGACTGCTGTTTAGTAGTTAAATGGCTTTGTTACCTGAAAATAAACCCGAATGAAACATCCAATTAAATCTTGTGATCCCTACCTAAACTATTTTCTCTTTTTGTTTCAGTGGTGCTGGGGATGGAATCCAAGCCGTGGTTATACTAGGCAGTGGTGTACCACTAAGTTATACACTCAGACCCCTAAATGACTTAAACCAAGAATTTTTTTTTTTTTTTTTTTTTTTTTGCGGCACTGGGGATTGCACTCAGGTCCTTGTGCTTGCCAGGCAAGCGCTTATTCTACTGAGCCATCTCCCGGGCCCCTAAAACTTTTACAAGTACAATTGTGTAAAAAAAGTTGTCTCCTGTAGGAAATCAATGTTAATTAAAAAGATATAGGAGGTTTTTGGAAAGAAAAGGTCTTATGTTTTAGGAAAAATTATGTTTCTGTGTTTCTGGAGCAGTATGAAACAAGAAACAGTAAGAACAAGAGGAACAATGACAACAAACAGAAAAGGACCTTGGTTTAATTCTGTAATTCTAATGCTTCCTACTTCTCTGGAGCCATGTTACCTAAACAACTCATCTGTAATGTTTCTAATGACTTTTCAGGAGACTAAGTCACTTGGAGGAATAGTCTGGTGTCAGTGGGACCCACAATGAGTCTCTGAGCAGCTGGACAGTTTCGCAACGCTCCTGGCAAAGGAGCTGGTAAGGAAGGGCAAGAGGCAAACCATCTGGTGTGGAACTGAGCCCATGTCACGTGGACGGATAGGGACAAAGACGGGAACCTACCAGGGAACCTACGAGTGATGCAGACTGGGGAAGTACTGAAGAGTTCTACTCATAAGTGGGAGCCTTTGATGTGTGAGGCTCTGGATTCAACCCTAACACTGTCTGAAAGAAAAAAGAAAGCCCTTTTTTTTTTTGGCGGAACCGGGGATTGAACTCAGATCCTTGCGTTTGCCAGTCAAGCGCTTATCCTGCTGAGCCATCTCCCCAGGCCCAAGAAAGCCTTTTGACTATGCTCTCAGAGTGCCCAAACCACCTGAGCACCCTACTGATCAAGTCAATTTGTAAAACATTATTAGCTAATTATTGCTACTGTCTGTAAAAAAATAAATACAACTCTACCTATTAATACAAACACTCTATCTTTGTGTCATTGGAGGCTTTAGAAATCATAAACTGTGTTTTCCAACATGTTACTTTTTGTGGGTGGTCCTGGGGAGTGAAGTGAATGCCCTGTGAATGCCAGGCACTCTACTACTGAGGTGCAATCCAAGCTCTTTTTATTATTTTTATGAGCATCACTGTGCCTGGATAACATGTTATATTAATTTTATCTTTTTCTTATTCTTGTTTAAAAATGAGTAGTTTTTTCTCACTGTGTTAAAATTTATGAATCAGTGTATGATCCACGAGGGCACTACTTCTCTTAAACAACCCAAATAAGGGGCAAAAGTATATGCTGTAACTATTGCTGAATGGTTTTCCTGATGAAACATATTTCAAAAGTTATCTGTGGTACTTGAAACTAATTATCATTAAAGACTTTTTTTTTTTTTTTTTTTTTTTTGGCTGACACTGAAGACAGATGGCATGTATACAGATGTTGTCTTTTGCTGAGATAACTTGTAGCTGTTAGCTGTTATCTAAAAATCACCACAAATCTTATTTGAGTAAATGAACACACAAAGATGGCTGACTTTGGTCCCTAAGCTGAAGTAGAGCTGACAGGATTGTTGAACAGGCTGCTTCAATCCTGCTTCCTTGCTTCTTGATTTTCTCTGAATCATAGTAAGAAATGTTCTATATAACTGCCTCATTAGTCACTTTCTACACAAGAAAATGAGTTAGAATTACTTCACAACGTGGACTGCAGAAACAGAATAGCAGGCATTCAGTGTGAGGTGAATCTTACTGGACAAGGAATTTAAAGGAGGACAGAAATTTTAGGAGACATAATAAGATGACTGTTATAATGTGCGTCACAAGTATCATCTAAAGTAATAACTTAAAAATTTATTACCTGGTTGTATGGCAACCAGAGTTAGTCTAAAAGAAAAACAAATTTATAAATTCTCACAGATTCTGTGAAGTAATTCTGGAGAGAAGAGGGTGAGCATAGGGGGCCAATTCATTTGCAAGAAAATTTGGCCTGTACAGCTGTAAGATCTCCTTAATATATAAAGGAACATTATCTAAAAGGAACTCCAACTTACAACATTTTCCCACTAAAAACCCAAAGCTAAATCATTTTGCTCATCTCAAACATGCCACTCCTTCAGCTGTACCTTTGCTTGTGTGCACCTGAAATTTACTGAAAGCTATTTAGTCTACTGCTCCAGGAATGAAGATATCTATATTTTCCAAACTGTAGTAAAATAAAATATTTATCACATCAACAGGATTATTCAGTCCTAGGGACCCTGTACACTGAATCTGCTCAGCCTGCCATGCTGAGGCAGGCAGACTGCTGCCAGCTTTCTCCTGCGCACACGCACAGGCGTAGTCTTCCTTGGGAATCCCTAGTGATGCGGGACAGCTAGTAACAAAAACTGCATCAGCAAACTGAAAGAGAAAACTGAAGTTTAATTATCGGAATGACCAAGTGAATGGATAAGCCTGGAACAGAAGGAGAATCTCTGGAGGAGGCACTGCCAATTTTTAATAATGTTTGTTTTAACCCGTAGATACTGAAAATCCAATGTTAGCTATCAATTTTAGGTTGAGAAAAGTATCTAGTCTTTAAACACATAAGTGTTTTTTGGTTCACTTTAAAAAAATATTCTATTCCATTTAACATATAAGCAAACATGTTCATTTATTTTCCTTTTGTTGCTACCCTCCTTTATTTCTCACTCATTTAATTTGCCATCAGTGGACAGGAAACGCACCATATCCCCCTGCCTGGATGGGAGTTTTTGGAGAAGCACAAGCATAGAGACTAAAATCCTCTGTTTGGAAACCAGCCCGATTCAAGGAGGGTTCTGATGCACTGCGGTGAATTTTTGGCAATGAGCGGGCCAGCAGCTCAATAGAGGCGAGAATCTACGAAAAAAAAGAAAACAAACAAAAATAAAAAATAAAAAAAAAAAAAGAAAGAAAAAACAGAAAGCAGAATGAAAATTTGGGTGGTGTAAACCTTTAAGAGCCCATTATACTTTACAAGAAAACACCGGATATCTTACATTATTTTTAGTATTACAAATGCCTGGAAAAACAGAAAGTAGTATTCTTCCATTTAAAAAAAGAAAACAAACAAACAAAAAAAGTCCCTACCATAATACTACAATTTACTTCTGTAAATTAAATGGGCAATGTAACTCACAGCGACAAAAAATAATACCAATTTCAGACTGACGATACATCTATTTGGTACAGACTGCAAGGCCCCTGGGCAGGAGGATGGAGTGACAGTAAGTAGGGCATCACGTGACTGTCGAACCAGTACTGGCCAAGGAGCTTAGCCTTTAAAGAAACTGCGCAATGCAAATGTTTACACACAGAGCCCAAAGCAGGACCCGCTGGCCCAGCCTGCAGTAGAGCGTGAATGAGAAGGACCAAGTGATCACACAAGGGAGAAGACAGGGAACTTCTACAAAAAGGCCCCAACGCACAAAATGTAAAAATTCACAGAGTATACTAACTAAGGTACAAAGAAACGGGGTAGGACCCTTGAAGGCATACAGCCTAAGAATGCATTTTTCAGTCAGAAGACATGTATAAAGGTTAAGTGCTCAAACTTTGAGGAGCCAGCATTGCAATGATGATGATGAGCCTGAGCTACCAAAATTATTTTTTAATTTACATGTAATCTATAGAGATTAGTATAAGAAGCAAAGAAGTAAGCAATGTTACAAAATTTTTAAAGAGTGACATGCAAATAAACATTGAAGTAGAACAGAGATGGAAAGAGTATAGGCTCTTCAGTCCCACCCTGCTGGGGCAGCTCTGTGTCTCCTGTACATAAACACACACACATGAAAACACAGCCCATCCTCACCATCTTTTACAGCAGTGTCAGACTCCACAGTTCTCTCACTGTTTTCTTTTACCCTCACTTATATGCACGTCATCTTTATAGAGCTACCTTAATTTTTGCCTTTAATTTTCCTTATGACAGTAAACATTCTTGTATATATCTGAATACTTATGGAAGTAGGTTCTGAGCATAGTTTTTAGGAGTATTTATTTTATTATTTGGGACAGAGTCTTGTTACACAGTTTAGGCTGGCCTTGAACTCACTACAGAGCTCCAGCTGGCCTCAAACTCACAGAAGTCCTCCTGCTTCAGGTGCTCGAGTTGGTTACAGCTGGATCACAGGTGTGCACTCTCATGCCTGACTGAACTGAGGGGTGCGAGGTCTTTTAAAACCTTTGAAAGATCCTTTTAAAGAAGGACCCAAGTATCATCCTGAATCCATTTTGCTCCTCTGGCCTGTCAGCAAAATTTGCAGACAGATCATCTCCTGACAGGGACTGAATTGCCCCTCCAGGTGCTAGGCCCTTACAGAACCAGATCTGAGATAATGCTCACCTAGACCACAGTGTGTGACCAAGTCTCTTTGCCTGCACACTTTCTCCTGAAGATGGGGCGTAGGTCAGCAGTCCCCTCTTCCTGCCTAGCATGGCCACACTGTGCATCAACTCCTTTCCGGCCTCACTGCCACTCATCCCTTTGATTGGAACTGGGCAGTCAGGGGGTGAATCTGGTCTGCCTGGAACCCCATCCACCCACCCAGTCAATGAACTCTGGCCACACTGACTGCTACTGAAAACTGTCTTTTCCTAAGTTCATTTACCACTTGCTTTTTTTTTTTTTTTTTTTTTTTTTTGTGCATGAACCTGTGTATAGCCTTTGCTTACTTTCCATGGAATGTTTTCTAATTTTTCACTTATAATGTGAATAATTCAAAAATTTCATGTATATTCCAAAATTTTACCTTTGTTATGTATGCTGCAATTGCTTTTCTATTTAACTTTCAGTATTTTTATTACTTGTAAGTTTAAACAATTTAATGTAGTCATATATACAACATTGTTACTAATTTTTTTATCTTTTTGAGACAGGGTCTTACTATGCAGTTCAGGCTGGCCTCGTGCTCACTTTGTAGCCCAGGCTGGTCTTGAATTCATAGTGATCCTCCTGCCTTAGCTTTCCAAGTGCTGGGATTACAGGTATGTACCACCATACCCAGCATTACATTAAATTTTATAACTTCTGGATTTTGTCTCTTGCTTAGGAAAGACTTTTCTATCTCAACACTATATAAAAATGATTTCATATTTTATAGTTGTCTGACCCAGATCTTTAGCCATTTAAGTTTTATTTGGCATATAATTATATGATAGGAAAAGATTACCTATAATGAAAATGTATAGTACTTAAAAGGGTAGCTTCCATTCATCTGGGGAATTCATAAATGCATTTCATTCTTTGATGGCATGGGATGAGAAATATTAGGTCTAAACACTGCCCCTTAAATAAGAAGCATTAGCAAGTGTTTTGTTTTTTTTTGGAGGCTCGAAATGCCTTTAGGGCATTTCTGGTTTTCAGCGACTATCTGGGTTCAAACCAAAGAAGCTTGAGCTTGAGGGCTTTGCTTAAGCAGGCACTTAAACAACTGAGCTACTGGGCAGGCCCCCAGCATTAGCATCTGGGATATACAAAGAGAACACATACTGGGGCTTCTGACACTGTTCAACAACATTAGTTTTTCACTTTGATGGTGTCAAGCATAGTATGTTTTCTGTTAAAAAATAAATAAGTCAAAGTCAATACCCTTAACTCTTCATTAGATGAGTGGCAACAGAATCCTGTATGTAATACACCCACACATCTAGTCTTTTTTCCTCGGAGGCAGCTGCTGACACTTGCTAAATCCATCAATTCTAATTTTTAAAATGTTTACAGAGAAAAAATTTTCAGAATGGGCTAGGGAGATAGCTCAGAGGAAGGGGTGCCTGTCTGGCAAGCATAAGATTCTGAGTTCAATCTTCGGTATCAAAAAAAGAAATTTTTTTTTCAGATAAAAATAAATGATGAACTCTCGTTTCTTTAACAGCGACCTGTCAAGTAACTAGCATGGACTGGGTACTCAAAGGCATATGCGTTCATGAAGAAACATCTCAGTAATTACGGTGACAAACCGTGAGAGCCAGCATTCCCATGTGAGACTGTTGATTTGTTGAGAGATTCGCTGAGGTCTACTCATACAGTGCTATCAGGAAGTTGTGAAGGGCCAGGAAGCCTGCACTTACATACTATAGCTAAGCTCCCTAAGCTTGTTCAGATACGTAGTGTCAGTCCTCTGTAAGGCTTCTTTTTCTTTGCTTCATTTTTGAGAAGGGGTGGGGAGGGTCTGGCTATGTCACCCAGGCTGACCTTCAATTCTTAGCCTCAGGTGATCTTTCTGTGGGCTGCCTCCTTAGTAGCTGGGACCACAGCCAAGTGCCACTCACTAGCTCTTTGTGAGACTTATTAAAGAGTATTAATGGGGCCAGAAAGATGGCTAAGTGGAATAAGTGCTTCCCTGGCAAGTGCAAGGGTCTAAGTTCAATCCCTGGTTCCGCCAAGGGAAAAAAAAAAAAAAAAAAAAAGAAATTTTTGGGAGTGTTTTGGCCTGACAATATTAAAAATTTAAAAAAAAAAAAAAAAGGCAACAGGAAATTAAAAGAATTTGAGGCAGACGGCACCAACAATTATTTTTTCTTTCTGCCCTAGCATGGCTGGATGTGGCAGTGTACACCTGTAATCCTAGCCCTTGGGAGGTTGAGGCAGGAGGATTGCTGAGCATACAAGGCCAGCCTGAACTATACAGTGAGTCACTGTCTTGAAAAACAAAAACCCAAAATAAATGACAACAAAAATACCTCATATGAAAGAGAAGCTTAGCTATTTAATTTTATCTCAAGAAGAATTAAAAGGAGCAGTTGGCAAAGTATGGTCTGTGGACCTCTAGAAGCCATGCAGGTTAAAACTAATTTACTAACATTAAGAAGATACTGTTTGCTTTTTTGTTGTCATTATTGTATAAGTGTAAGAAGGTAACATGTGAGATACTACAAGTATAAGCAATCAAAAGTAGAGAATAGAGTTATCTTTTTACAAAAACATTTGAAAAATGTAAAATAACCACTTCTAATTTTTTTGGTTTGGAAAATATTACATAAATACAAGCTCTTTGGGGGTCTTTAATAATTGTTTAATGTATAAAAAAGAAAAGAGAGAAAAAAAAGGATTCTAAGACCAAAAAATTTGAAAACTGCTACATAAAAGCAAAGTCCTTGAGAATGGTTTGTATTGGGACCCCAATTTTCTGCTCAACCTTTATGAAATCACCACCTGCAGTTACTTACCCGAGTCTGTACACATCACATGGAATCCAACCTGTAAGATACAGACTATGTACCCCAAAAGTGCTCACAAATCTGCCTCTGAATGTTAGTTTATTTTTAGGTAGCATGCAGTTTTTCTTACTTGGGGAAAGAGTGGTCTCTCATCTCTTTTCTTTTTGAGGCACTCCGCCATTAATCTCTTCATGGCCTTTGGACAGTTACTCCGTACCTTGCTGAGATCTGGAGATAAGTATCCTCGTCCCACCATAAAAATTATCTAGAAGAAAAAAATTAACCAAATCATGCAACCTCCTATATAAGTGAAAATCAAAAACAATGAAAATGTAAAAAGCTGTATGCTTATGACATTTGTACTTTTATATATGTATATTACACTTCAATAAAGAAAGTCAAAATAAAGATCAACAACCTGAGTACTTGGATTCCTATATATCACAGTGTGGCACCCACAACTATGGGCTATAAGCTCAAACCTTCGCGACCCCATGACTGCACCAGAGCCTTGCTAACTGCTCTCTGTGGCTCCAATCTCTCCTTATCTAGTCCACATCCCCATGGAGGGGGTAACTGTTCTAGAGCACCAGATCTGACAGTGCTTCCTTCTTTTTTTCTTCCTTTTTTTTTTTGTTCTTCTTTCAAAAAACAGCTTATTGAATATATTTTTCTTTGGGGTGGTTGGCATTATGGTAAATCTTTTAAATATGTATAGCAACAACCAAAGAAGTTAAACCTTTTCAGCAGTCATCTGTATTTTTTTTGGCAGAACTGGGGATTGAACTCAGGCCCTTGCACTTGCCAGGCAAGTGTTTATTCTACGGAGCCATCTCCCTGGCCTCCGATCTGTATTTTAAGTCCATCAGGAAACTCTAGTGGGGTATCTGTCATACAGTATAGAAGCCAGAGACTTCTACACAGGGTAAATGAAGCTACTGAGCTAAAATCTCCAGCTTAAGAAAATAAAAATGCTTGTTTTTCTTAGAGTTCTGTCTTCTAATTTTTTTTTTTTTTCTTCTTCTATATGGTACTGGGGATTGAACGAGGGGCCTCTGAACTGAACTACACCAGTCCTTTTTTATTTTGAGACAGGGCCTTGCTAAGTCACTAAGTTGCCAGGCAGGGCTTGAACTTATGATTCTCATTTCTTAGTTTCTAACACTGTTGGGATTACAGGTATGTACTACTATTCCTGACTGAGTTTTCTAAATTCTTAACTTTCTGGCTCTTTTGAGGGTAAGCACATTCAGATGACAGAAGTCCTGTTTCTGAGAAAGGGAGCTTTGATCTTAGGGGTTACAGGCCCAAGAGCAGCACACTGGCAGTATGGTGGAGAAAGCCAGTATGGGATTCTTCCTTCGGCACAGTGCTGATGAACTTCAGAAACTCACATTTAACATCTTATGCTATCCTGTTTGATGTTGAAATGACTCTTACTTAGTTATGAGCCCAAAGTAAAGCTTCGATTATAATGTGATCTCTGTGGTATAGGCTAAAAGGATGAAGCTTGGGAAAAGATACCAGGAAAATACAATTTTTTTTCCCTATACTTCTCTCTTCTGAAGTCATGCAATTGTGATATCATAATTTTTTAAATTTTATTTATTTGTGTGTGTGTGTGTGTGTGTGTGTGTGTGTGTGTGTGTGGCCAGCTCAGCCCACCAGGGGCGCGGGGCTGGCTGGCATGTGGTGCTGGGGATTGAACCGCGGTCTCTGTGCTTTGCTAAGCTTGTACTAATTAGGTGCTTTAGACCACTGAGCCATCTCACCAGCCCGATATCATAATTTTATTGGAGAAAGCAGTCTCAGAATTCTAGGAGCAACTTGAAATAATACCATAGAGCAATGAGTAATAAGCAAGGACCAAGAAAATATGAAGCACAAAGAGGGCTTGCTTGCCTGCCTTCCCTCCCTCCCCTTCCTCTCTCCCTCTCTCTCTTTTGAATGGACTAGTACAAATCAGTGTTGGTGGGATGTTTACTGCCTGCCTGCTTTCTTTCT